TTGCGAAAAAGGCGGGAGCCAATGCGCTCGACACCACCGGCGTATGTTTCAAATTTCAACTATTTTTATTTGATCCCATTAAGTCACCGGCATCATTCCCGGTGACGTCCCATTTTTATTCGGGGCTTCCTTGTCCCTGGTAACCCCAAAACCTTTTTCTCATGGGCCTCAAGTACTGCGAATATTCTAGGCCGCGAGATCCACTATCTTGCGGTCCTCATGTACAGTCTTTATTTGCCCAAGCCAATAACACTCTTTTCTAGTGTCTTGGGTAAGCCAAGGCCCTTTTCCTTTTGGCCTAGGCACCCTCATGCAGTCCGTTATTTCTCAGACTGCCATAATGGTCTTTCCCCTAGCCTCATGGTCCAACAACATGGCTCAAACTGAAATGTAACGGTCATCTCCCAAGTACATCGGGGCTCAATATTGGCTCCGGATGTATCTGAAACATGTGTTTGTCCTCCCCCATGCAATCTGTTGTATCTCAGTTGCATGGGGCCTTGATTTTCCTCGATTTTCTCTGCAAAATCAAGAGAAAATCAAGGTCCTTTGCAACCGCCATATCTCATAATGTATCTGGTCACGGATGCATCTCCGCAAGTGGTCGTTTTTTACTGTTCAGACCTTTTTCTCTTTTATTTTATTTTCTCTTTCCTTTTCTTTTATTTTTCCTCCATTTTCGAACAGTAGGGACCTGCCAGTTCCTACTTGTGGCAGTCCCTACTGACGGCCAACTCACTCACTCCCTATGGAATGGTTCTGCTTCCAATGAGATCCTATAATAGGCGTCGACCAGCCACGAAACGCCCAGGTGTACTTCGTCCAAAGCTTCCGCCGCCGCAAGGATGTGTTTGTATCCCCCGAACCAATCCGCCACAAAATGCGGCACCCAAGCCTGGACTAACTGGCAGGGCAGCCTAAGTTCCTCCCATTCTCCTATTACGACCCTACTGCCTACTTCATCCCACCCTTCGTTGGCGAATCCATGACCCATATCGCGAGTCGATTGCTCGACTTCCCCTAAGATCCACATCGGGTTTTGTTCGGACGCCAGCGTTACGCAGAACAGATGTCAGCTCCTTTTTTATAAGTACACTGTTCCGAGGGATTCCACGTTCCCCTTGGCCAAGTCGTCTCATCCCTCTTCTTCTCGCAACGGGTTTCACACCCTTTCTACCCATAGAAATGATAATTCTTATGCTATTTCCCTTTCTACCAATCACAGGTCGTTCCTCTCCATTCATTTCTCGTCGGCAGGGTCAACTCTATTCCTCCTTCGAGTCGTCTTGGTTCCCACCCCCTAAACATCCGATTGTTTAAGCGTTGTTCCCACACCATTCTTGCTCTCTGCACAGCGCTGACCATCCTTATCATTCCTGCCCTGCGGACCCTTTTCTCAAAAGTCTCAATCTTCAATTGCATCATCTTCGTCCTCATCTATTAGGTCGTCCTCTTCCTCATACCATAGATCTTTTAGCCCATCGAGAAACATTTCCCCTACCGCTACATTCCTGTAGATTATTCTCCAATGGACGGGACTCATAACGAACACCTCATCCGTGCTGAGATAGTTTAGTATCGCGGCTAGCTCCCTTGCCCAATTCCCTTCAAAGGGCCCCATTTTGACCGATAAACGGAAAAAATCATGTCGGGTGCCTTGGTACAGCCCAAGACTCGTCATGGACTGATATATCCATACCAGCCTACTGCGGGTCCCGAAGACCACGTCCACCAAGAACGGAGGCATGGTGCACCTCATCGTCCTGAGGGGCCGCCTTACGTTCCCTCTATCTCCAAGTTTCACCCGCACATCTATCTTTTCCATTTCCATCTCTTCCCGTTGACACGCCGCCCACACTAGTTGCCGTTCTGTCCACCTTAACAATTTGTACGGGACTATTCCTAATGCCAAGTCCACAACCATTGTGTTTTCTCCTTCCTTAGACAAGTAGATTCAACCCCGTGCTTCCACAGTCCCCCAAAATTCCAAGTCTGTCAAGCTTGGCATTAGTCGGGTTAGGCTGACCTTGGTCCATAGCGTTTTTATCCAAAGAAAGGCGTCCTCGTCGCCCAACATCACAATCAGATACGCCGACTCTAGATCTGTCCAGGTCCCTTCTTCCAGCAGAACAACGGATACCCCGTCCTTAACATCTATTGGCATTTCCAGTCCGCTGGAATAGCTTGGGGACGATAGCCACCGTGCCATCTTGGTTCCAACACCCGATCCCTGTTTTTCCACAACCAAGCACCGACCTCGGTCCTTGGGTCCGATCAGCCTACGTCCTGGATGAGAATATTTCAGACCCCTCATCAAGGTTCAGTCTAGTTTACCTTCCCATTCTCAAATTCTACCTCCCTCGGATGCCCCTGAACGGTCCCTTCTCTCCCAAACTCATTCTCTTGGTTCTTTTCAAGGATGACCTCTATCTCTTCCTCTCGTGGTCTTCACTCACTCGTGCAAACTTAGGAGGGGGTGAGAATAGACTAGAACCTTGGCCTAGCCCAACAACTCGAATCTCAATCATCTCTACAGAGGAGGATACAAAATACGAAAAATTCAGACAATCTCACATACAAGCACAGTCATCTCCTCACCGGCCTTTTTTTCCAAAGTGGTCTCTCCACTATTACTATCGGCAGAGTTTTATCCCATACCTCAAGCACAACTCAACCGTCACGAGCGTGGTACCTCAACTCCGGCACAGGGTGTTACGCCTCTCCGTTTGCTTAGAATACCCATCCCATCTTACCGCCTTTGCACAACCCCGTTGGCACGGGGAATCACCCCGCGCATCCCGGTAGGAGCAAAAGTTAGTCGTCCAGGCATTCACTTCCATCGGTCTGATAAGAATCAGCCCTTCCCATGCCGTACTACAAGAGGCTACTAATCGTCTCTGAGGCTCCCTCCTTGCCCCACATGCAGCGGTCCTCCTCCGTCTGCCGACAAGCAGCCTCTCCACCTGAGAAGACGTTTCACACCCCTCTTGGGCAAGGTGTCGAGCCATGCTCGGTCCGCCCGGGAGGGAGTGCAACTAATCAACCGGCGAGACCAACTCTTGCCCAACAACCCAGTGGCCCAACCTCCTACACATGAGATCCGGTGACACTTTGATAGAAACGACATTTTGCAACCCGCCCCAGCTGGTTCAGACCCATCATTTCCTTCCGAAAGGCAGGACGCTCAATTTCCACTCACGTAGATCACAAGTCCCAAGTGGGACACACATAGTACAAATGCCTTTCCCATGGTGCATTCAACGCATCCTACCCAAACCTCGCATTGTCTCTCAAGACCGTGTGTGCCACTCTCCCTACCGTCCATACACAGTGGCTGGTTCCTTTTCGTGAGCATCTTCCAAGGGTGAGCTAGTTTTCTTTGGAGTCTAGCAAGTCCCTTAATTCTCATTCTCTTATTGCATCTGTCGTTTTATAGGGCATGATTGTTCTTTTCTCGATTACCATTGTGTTCATGTTGGTTCCTTCACACTTTTCAAGTGTAATAGTGCATGAGTCCGCTGGGCTCAGAAGAAGAAGAGAGAAGAGCACCAAGCCGGTCGGATCGCTCCGCCACAGGATTTTTATTGGACCCAGCTCGAAGCCGAAGCACCAACCGTCTGCCACGTAACTGGAGCCCTTCTTTCACACGAAGAGGAAGGGTCGACATGCGACTTGCCCGAAGCTTCCTCGGACTGGCCAACACCAGCACCGGAGGAAGGAGGGCTAGAGCCACTCCTGTGCATCATGCATGTTATACCTCCAGGCCCGGCCATGCCATGTGCCCAGCTACTCTCAAATATGATTCTCTCAAAGGAAAGAGCAAACGCAAGTCCAATTTCCTTCTCTTTGGTCGAGTGCATGACCATGCGTAGGGCGCCCCCCCCGGAATTGCAAAGGTCAATTTAACCCTGTACCCGACACCTCCACCATTTTTGCAGGGCGAAACCCCGTTAGACTTTCGAGCCTGTGTCGATCCCACTGCAGGTCCCAGTTGGCTCGACCCGACCACGCTCATGCTCAGGGCGCGGGTCATTCGTCACCGGGTCACCCCACCTAGTGCTTTGAGATGGATGGGGGTGGGCCATTGAGCGAGAGAGCTTTGACATTGGGGATGTAGCTCAACCCTCACGCCGGGTGGTAGTCTCGCTGATCATTTCGCAAGCGTAAGTTTTATAATTCTTGGTTGTGTTATCAGGCAAATGCTCCTTTCAATACTCAAGCGGTCCCAGGGGGTTCCTTGAGAAAATTTTCTTCTTTTGTGTGTAGGATAAGCGGCATCCTTAGGCCACACATTGGGGCGCGGAGGCGACGTCTTCCCCCTTCGCCTCCACACATTCCCATGTTCCGATCATGATATCCATCGTCGTTGGAGCCCGCCCCTTAGTCTTTTCAGGGCTTTCATCCGCATACAAAGGCTACTTCACATTTCAATCGATCAAGACTTCGTCACCCGCGCGGTCTACACTCAAAGCTTCATACACCAAGGCCCCATTCACAGATAGGGTTTACACTAAGGCCCACAACCGTTTGCTCATCCATTCCTCTTCCCTTTTGCTGGCACATCCCTGACCCAATCCAGCTCAAGTCATCCCAAGCTATTCACCTGCACAATCAAACACAAGTACAAATGCCAATACAATCCCCCATTCGGGGGTCAACACATAACCCTTCCCACATGCCTATGCTTTCTTCCTTTGCTCTTGGCTTAATTCCCATTCCCGAATGATAAGCATGTGTATTGTATGCAATACTTGGTTCATGGTGAAAATAATATTACCTTTCTCCTTTACAAGACTGAATAAGCTGAGCTGATCCCCACGTTTTGTATGGATGGAACAGCTGTCCATGGTGAAGACAGTGCACCCATTCTTCATTTCTTTGTTTACCCTCTATATACAGGTATGGATAGGCCGGACAGAGTTGATTTCTACATAGGGTTCACATGACTATGATTTCTGTAACACTCCTTTTCATTTGTTGTTGCATTTGTCGTTCATCAGGTATCCATCGATCGATGAGAAAATACGATTAATGGCTGGACAGAAACTCGCTGAAATCACATGCACCCAATTCGATTTGAACGACACTTTCCACAATTGTCTTAATCAAACGGGGTTTGACGCTGCAGGGGGTGTATACTTTGGGTCTGTATCAGGCATTCATTGGGGGCTTCCAGGCCTGGTAAGTCTACTGTGCGAACTCCCTCCCCTTTCAACCATTGAGTCTATTTGAGTCCATCTAGATTTGAATGAATGGTTCGTTTCTCAACAGTTATACTCATGTACCTGACCACATAGTCTGGTTACAAGTGAACAAATTTTACAATGCTTGTCGAATGGCATGGTTAGCCCCATGTGTATGTGACTACAGGTGTGCATTCGGGCCCTATGTGTCGATGTACCAGTTTGTTTGTGATTTATGAATTTGAAGAATCTCAAGTACTTCCACACTTGATTAAGATAAGATCGCACTGGTACATAGGTGCGTCCTAGACCCTAGATCTGACCATGGCCAGATCTCATCTGATCTAGGTCCAAGTGGGCCTAGGTGAGAGTTACAGCCCTTAGGGCTCTATCTCACATTCCCAAGTGATGGTCTCAGTTTTTGGCCAAGTGCACTATTTTTGTCTTGTCTCTTCCTCTGTTGTTTTCCATTCGGAGATACGAACTCATTTTTGTAGTTTTCTGTTTGAGTGAACATCACAAAAATAGCCTTTTTGTTTCGTCCGTTGATCTTATCTTATAATCAACGATTAAAACAAAAATTGGCCATCAAGTTTTGACCTTTCTTTTTCTTTTTCTTTAATTTGCTTCAGATAACAAAGAGATAATGCCCTAAGGGCCTTATCTCTTCACTCCGGATTTATCTCTCCGGAAGATCCAGCCACGGTAGGGACCTGCTGGTCTCAACTCTGATAGTCCCTAGTCCCTACCCACCGGATTACATCGTCACGTTTTTTTTGCATTTCGCAGCCCGTTAGGAGCTGCGCTCTCTCCCTTGTTTTTTTTCTCTTTTTGTGCCACGGACATCATCGGTCCTTGGTCGGGTACTGGTCACTGGCAGATGTACCGGTAGCTGGAAGGGGGCAATGTTTTCATTTTGGGGCAGAGCAAGGGTTTTGGGAACTCAGGGAAGGCCGAGGACCATTTTTTTTTGTTCATGTGCCCCGACCGGTTCTTCGGGAAGAGGGGTTGGTAGGCCCCTTTATCAGGGGCCCTTAACAACAGTGAGAGCTTTGCACAACGTTTCTTTGTACAAGTTCCCTAAATAAAATAAAAATAAAAATAAAAAATCTGAAGAATGCTTTGAATGTGGCCATTTGGTGGGCATGAACCTGGATACCATTGGAGCCATTACTAAACCATCGGGAACATGGTCCACGAACAGACTGAGTTCATCGTGTGCGAAAGGTTGACAACTTTATCGTTGAATGATGACACCCCTCTTTGTTGTTAATGGTTTGCAAAAATGGCATCTCTCTCTCTCTCTCTCTCTCTCTCTCTCTCTCTCTCTCTCTCTCTCTCTCTCTCTCTCTCTC